ACACACACACACACACACACACACACACACACACGATGCCCTGGTGGCGCAGTGGCTAAGAGTTGGCTGCTAACCAAAAGGTCGGCAGTTCATATCTATCAGTGTCTAAGAGCTTGGCTGCTAACGAAAGGTCAGTAGTTCGAATCCAGCAGCTGCTCCTTGGAAACCTTATGGGACAGTTCTCCTCTGTCCTATGGGGTTGCTATGGGTTGTAATCCACTCGACAGCAACAGTTTTTGGTTTTTTTTAATTGTAGTTTAAGTGAAAGTTTACAATTCAAGTTAGTCTCTCATACAAAAATTTATACATACATTGTTATGTGATCCTAATTGCTCTCCCTATACTGTGACAGCACACTCCTCCTTTCAACCCCTAATTTCCCATGTCCATTCAACCAATTCCTAACCCTCTCTGCCTTCTCATCTCACCTCCGGACAGAAGCTGCCCATTTAGTCTCATATATCTACTTGAGCCAAGAAGCACACTCTTCATGAGTATCATTTTATGTCCCACAGTCCAGTCCAATCTTTGTCTGAAGAGTTGGTCTTGGGAATTGTTTTAGTTCTGGGTTGACAAGAGAGTCTGGGGGCCATGCTTTCTGGGGTTCCTCCAGTGTCAGTCAGACTATTAAGTCTGGTCTTTTTACTAGAATTTGAGTTCTGCATCCTACCCTTCCCCTGTTCCATCAGAGACTCTCTATTGTGTTCCCTGTCAGGGCAGTCATTGGTGGTAGCCGGGCACCATCCAGTTCTTCTGGTCTCAGGGACAGCAACAGACTTTTTTTTTTAATAGTATGTAATAGTTAGCTTTGACTGCAACCATGCTGTATAACAAACATTACCACCCCCCAAATCTTGACTTATGACCACAAGGTCTATTTATTGATCACATTATCTGTTAGCTGGGGGGGTGGTTGTGGCTGCATGACTTTGTGGCTTTGCTCCAGGTGCCAGTCAGACAAATTTGCTCCATGTGTCTTCTCATTCTGGAACTCAGGCTGGAGGAGCTGCTTCTATTTGGTACATGTTATTTTTATGATGAGGACTGGAGCAAGAAAGAGATGACATGTTGCCTCTTATCACCTCCACTCTGAACTGGCACATAGTCATTTCTATCTACATTCCATTGGTCAAAACTGTTTCTATGCCCAAGGCCAAAGTCAACATAAAAGGGAATGAATACTTGGGAACAATAATCCAGTTGACCACGTATGTTTTTTAAAACCCCCCTGATACAGATACTCACTTATCCTTATCTCTTCAACCTAATTCCCATCACACAGCCTACACTTTGGTCCAGTTATTGCCCTTTCCTCAAACATTGCAATGCCTTTTCAAGTCCCTGTAGCTTTGCACATATGGGCTCTCTGTCCAGAAGTTACCCTCTTACTCCTCCCTACCCCCTTGACCATTGAATCTATGACCTAGTTTGGTCAGTCCTACCTCTTTACCAAATCTCCAAATAGTCCTTTTAATTCCAACCCCACTGCTCCTGCTTAGTATGTATGCACCCACTCTCCAGCCAGGCCCTTGCTGTTACATCTCCCTAGTCTTACCTCCTCCAGGACATTCTGCCATGGCAACCAAAGTCATCTTTCCAAAGAGATCTTGTGATCAGTTTCTGAATAAGAGATAAGAGTTTTAAATTCTATCTCAGTTGTATTTTGCCATCTTTCCAAGAATCCCTGTTGCCCTCAGGATAAAGTGCATATTTATTCCTTTATGTGGCATCCAGGGTCCTACATAAGCTGCTCTCTGAACTCCTTGTCACCTTCATCACCCCACCCCGCAGAACCTCTGCTCCAGCCTTGCGGAACTACTGGTATTCCTGAATCCCTCTTCTGGTTTTATACCTCTGGGTTTTTTCACATGATGCTTCCTGTGCTTGAAATACCCTCTCCACCTCTACCCCAAATCTAACTGCAGACTCCTACTCATCCTTCAAAACCAAAAACCAAACCTGTTGCCGTCGAGTGCTCATCCTTCAAGGCCCAGTATAATCATCTCCCTCTCTATGAAGCCTCTCTCTTCATCCTGCCCCCCTTGAATTAGGCACCCGCCTCCTTCTACTCCCTGTCCCACAGCACCCTGGTCATCCTATAGTACATGGCCCCCTGTTACATCCTATTGCGTGTCTTTGTTTTTTTCTGACTTTGGCGGTGCCTGGAAGGCAGAGAGTACATTATTCACAGGACCCCAGTGTTCATTTGACACACTCTGGTGGTTAAATGTGGCCTCTGTAGCCTCACTGCCAGAGTTTGAATCTTCAGTGGCTGTCAGGCCTGGGGCAAGTCAGCTCACCTCTCTGTCTGGGTTAAAAGGTCCACTGACAGGAGCTTCACCTTAGCTCCTGAGAGAAGGAGGCCACTTGATTTAGTCTGGGAAGTTGAAGAGTGAGTGATATAGATAGGGCCCATGGACTTAAGGCCAAGACATCACCATTTTGTATATTTAGCCCAGATTATTTCTAAAAGGCCTTTCAGTTCTAAAAAAAAGAAGTGAAAACATATTGTCTAAATCTCCAGCCAAAGCACTGGTCTGCTGAGGAGAAAAAGGCACAAAACAATGCCAAGCCTAGAGACCACAGACTCAGTTGCATGCAGCCAGGACCAGCAGTTGGGCTTCGGCAGCCATCATGCTGATTTTTATTGCTAAATAGTCTCTCTCATGAAGGAGAGGCAGCAATGGCAGGGTGGTTGCGATCCAACATGTGCTTACTTTGTGCGTACTGGGGGAACCCCACTTAGGGCCTGGGCATGTTTCCGGTGGTTCCTCTCTGAAGCCATGTGGTTGGCAGACCCAAATGACAGGAAGAAGCACGGAGCTGCCACTTGAACCAGGGCCTGACTCGGCAAATGAGTAGTTCCAGACAGAGGCGGAGAGCCCAGAGGGAGCAAGGTGTAGGAAGCCAAAGGAGGGGCCGGTTTCCAGGAGGATGTTGAATGGTGTAGAGAGGCGGGGTAGAGAGAACGGGCTTGGAAGCTGGCTGGGGGTTGAGAGCAAGTCCCTGGGGGAAATGGAATAGTACTTACACTATTACTATTGTTAAATCCTCTACATTGAGGACAGAGATTATCTACCCACCTTACGTGATCATTACAAAAGCCCTGTGAAGTTGTGAGTTTTTCTCCCCATTTTACAAGTTGGGGAAACAGGCTGAAGTTTAATAACTTGGTCAGAGCCTCTCAAGAATTAAGTGGCAGAACTACAGCATGAAAACCCTGTTCCTGACTCTAAACATAGTGCGGTTTACAGACTCTGGGAAGGGGGCATGAAGGTGGTTCAGAAGGTGAAAGGTGCTGGAGGCGGTTGTGCTGACCTTCACTGGGATACAGATCCAGGCCCAGTGCAGGAGAGGGCTCCTGCCCGGTGTTGCTCAGATGGAAATCAGCCAGAGACAGTGGAAAGCAGTAGTTTGGAAGAGGCTGGGGGCAGAAAGGCCAGGTCTTGTGATCCATTCTGGATAACAGATAAGAGTTTTAAATTCCATCTTGATCCGGGTGTTATACCTTCAGGGGCCTTAGTTGTAAATACCCTGGGCCTTGCGTTCCTTAGGGATGAGACACTGAACAGAGCTCTGGGCTGAAAGTGAGGGAGTTTGGTCCCAGCTTCTGCGGATCAGGTGGGTCCTGTGGGGTGCCGCTTGAGGAGTGGGCTGACTGGGAGGTGGGCTCTGGGTGGCTGGGCTTGGGGCTCCAGGTGTGGGATGGGGTGGATGGAGGGAGAAGAGCAGGCCAGTGTTCCAGCCCTGCCCTCTGTCTGACCCTGCCTCTGTCCCTGCTTTTGTTCTTGTTGCTACCTCTGTGTCCAAGTCTGACTCAGTCTGTCCCCATCCCTGTCGCTGCCTCTGTCTAGCCTTCCGGACCCCGGTCTAAGGGACTGCAGGTGGAGGTCTCTCCACATGGTCTGTGGGGGCTTGGGGCCGGAAAGGAAGGGAGTCTCGGGGCACAGGGTGGGACTGACCGAGGAAGTCTTTTGCAAGGATTGAGGGGTCAGCCCCGTCTGTTGGGCAGGACAGAGTAATGGCTCTTGTCAAGGACACGATGGAAAAGGATTCCTCTGGGAAGGGGGAGCCTGAGAGGAGCGCACGAACTCCTGATACTAGGGGTATTTAGAGGGAGAGGTTAGAGGGATTGGAGAGCTGAGGACCAAGCCAAAAACCTAGCCTGGGGAAAGTTCCAAAGATTGTAACTTTGGCAGCGAAAGTCTCTGCTGCATTGGAGTAGTGCGAGGCAAAAGGGTCCCTTCAACTCTTCAAACTGCCTCGTTTCCACTCAAAAGGGACACCAGCCCGCATTTGCAAATGGCAGAAAAGCAGCTGAACAGAATGATTGCACAAACTCTTGAAAGACATCCAAGAAACAGTAAAGTGGGAAAAAATGTCAGCGTGTGAGCAGAGCAGAGAAGGCACAGGGACTTCAGATTCCTCAATCTTCCCGCTGGTGGCGGGAGGGAGGAGGCAGGTGGGGAAGGTGTCAGTGCCACTCCTCCCCCCAGGAAGGAACCTAGACCTAGGCGGCTGTTTTTGTGGCTTTGCCTGTGGTGTACTTTCCTTCTACCTCCTATACAGGCCTGGGGGCCTCCTGCATTCTACCTGGAGTAGGTGTGTCTCCGTGGCAGGAGTTGCAGGATGGAGCCCTGGCTGGGCAGCTTCCCAGCTGGGAGGCACTTGCCCAGAGGAAACCTCACTTTCCTCAACTGTGGAATGGGGATACTGCTGATGACTTCCCTCCTTGGTTTGAGCAGGGAAATGCAAAGTACTTTCCAAAAGGGGAGTAAGGAATATGGTTACTCAGTTGCACATCTGTGCTTCTTTGGCTACAATAAGCACTTCTACCTTGATCAGTTATTTCTGAGTGTACCTTGCTTTCCTTATCAGATGGGAGCAGAGTGCAGATGGGAGTTAACTCTATTGTAAGGATGGGTGCTGAATGACTGAAAAAGGCAGAGCTGAAACAGTCCCTAGAAGATTGCAGACTATGCCCCTGGGAGGCCCAGGATCCTGTCCAAGGGCCACCGTGGTGGGGGAGAGGAGCCTAAGGGCTCTCCTTTCCCTACTTCAGTTTGCTAAGTTTTTGCTACCAGATTCCTCAGATCCAGTCTGATCTGGTCATTTTTGATGGAGAAATTGGGTAGAGAGATGTGCAAAGTGACATGGGCAAGGTCCCGCACGAACCCTGGTCTGTTAAGTCATAGGCCAGGACTGACCTTGGCCTGGTCAAGGTGGCTCAGAGAAGCCGTTTCTCCAGCTCTTGGCCCAGTTCACCTGTACCTTAATCCCAGGGTCCCAGGGCCAGCTCCTTACCCTTCTGAGAGAGGAAGCCTATGAGTCTCATCCTTTGAGCATTTCTAAGCCTTTATTGGGACTTTTGCATGCAAGCTGGTTGCACAGTGTGAAGTTGAAAAGAATTAGGTTGCCCAGGAGCTAGCTAGCATTCTCACACTGCCGCTTCCCCAGCCCAGCCCAACACAGAGAACTGTGCCTTTACTCTGTATCCCTGTAGTCTTTCTGCTGGTTTCCTTTAAATGTTGAACATGATAGTGGATCCTATTTCTGACTGTTAGGATCCAAGTGACCTCAAATAGGAGGCTAGTGATGGTGGTGACCATTCCCTTATGGCGTTTTGTTCCAATTTCATTGGGTTCTTAATCGTTACTATGGTGGGAGATGACCCCCACCATACTAATGGGCTGTGTGCTGGTCCCTTTTCTAATTCTCACATCCACTGGGTAGGGAAAGTGTCACTAGCCCGTTTTATAGTTGAGGAAATGAAGGTTCAGAGAGGTCAGGTAGCTTGTTCATGTGCACTCAGTATTAAATGGCAGCTGACATTTGTCTGACTCTAAAGACTGCGCTTTTTCCATTACATCACCCATGTGATGGCTAGAAAATGGCTAGTGGACAGATGTCATCAAGTCTAGGCGGGTGGGAAAATGGTAGAAAAGAGGACAGCATTAAGTGGAAACTATGATATTGAAAATTCAGGACAAGATACCCTGCTCAGATAAAGTCACCTGAAGAAATTGATAAGGAGAACATTTATGTGTCGGGCTCAGAAAGGAAAATGAACCCAGCTGTAGGGAATACAACTGTGTATACTGAGAAGCACTCAGACAATCTGTTTAAATGAAAAGTCCTGGCAGCTGTCATTGCTGGCAGCGTTATTGGCTTTCTCTTTGCAATTTTCCTTACCCTGATGTTGGTATATCAGGAAGAAAGGACGAGGGAAGCCATGACCTCAGGGAATGCAAACTATCCAGTGCTGCTTAACAGAAGGCACCTACTGAGGAATTTTATGCATAAAACTCCCACTTAGTGTCTCTATGTATGAGATCACTGAACTTTTAAAAATAAAACTTTTGCATAGAATGATGGGAAAAAGAAAGCCGGAGGACAGCACCGTCCAGGATATATATTCCAGACAACATAGGTACGTTCATTGTATACATTTTATTTGAAATGATATGTTTTCTGCACTGTACCTTCTTTTTAATTTAGTGCTATCTTATATACAGTTTAAAACTTCACAATTTTATTCTTCTAATTTTAAATAAAAGCATAATTTACATACAGTAGCATCCACAAATCTTAACTGTTGAGTTCAGTGCGTTTTGACAGTTGTTTACCTCTGTGCAGCCATCTTCCAAATGAGATACAGAATATTTCCATCACCCTAGGAAGTTCCCATTTCCGATTAATTTTTCTTCTACCCTTCCTGGCCAGCATTTTCTGATTTTATCACCATTGATTAATTTTGCCTGTTCTTGGACTTCACATAAATGGAATCATCTGTATGTACTCATTCACGTCTGGCTTCTTTTACCCAAGGTAGTGTTGTTGAGATTCATCCGTGTTGTGTATATCAATCAATAGTTTGTTCCTTTTTATTACTGAGTAGGATTTCATTGTATGTCTATACCACAATTTATTTATTCTCCTGTTGTACATTTGAGTTACTTCCAGTTTTTGGCTATTATGTTTCAAACTGCTGTGAATACCCCCTTTTTTTTTTTTTAAACTCAAATCTTTTGTTTTATTACCAAGGGAAAAGAACCCGTACTGTCTTTTTTTTTTTTTTAAATAATAATTTATTGTGTTTTTGGTGGAAGTTTACACAGTAAATTAAGTTCCCCTTTAACAATTTTTAGACAAAGTGTTCCGTGCCATTGGTTACAATTTTTACAATGTGTCAGCATTCTCATTATTTCTGTTCTGTTTGTTCTGTTTCCTTGATCTACCGTCCCTTTCCCACCTTGCCTTCTCATCTTTGCTTTTGGGTAAATGTTGACCTTTTGGTCTCATATAGTGAATTGTTTAGGGAGCGTATTGCTTGTGGGTGATACTGTTTATTTTATAAGCCAATCTATTATTTGGCTGAAAGGTGACCGGCAGAAATAGCTTCTACTCCACGTTCAAAGGTTGTTTTAGGGCGATAGTCTCAGGGATTCCTCTAGTCTCTACCAGTCCAGTAGGTCTGGCCTTTTTTAGAAATTTAAGTTTTGTTTTACATTTTCTCCCATTCTTCTGAGAACTTCTATTGTGTCCCTGGTCAGAATGGCCGGTAGTGGTAGCCAGACACTATCTGTTTTCTAGTCTCAGGTTAGAAGAGGTTTTGGTTCATGTGGACTGTTAATCCTGTGGACTAGCTTCTTCTTTGAGCCTTTGATTTCCTTCATTCTCTTTTTCTCCGTACAAGTAGAGACCAATAGTTGTATCTTAGATGGCCACTCACAAGCTTTTAAAACTCCAGACGCTACTCAACAAACTAGGATGTAGAATGTTATCTTTTTGAACTATTTTATGCCAGTTGACTAAGTTGTCCCCAAGACTATGGTCCCAAGCCTTTTAACTCAGTAAACCAAACACGCGAGTTGTTTTGATATGTCTAGAGAGCCTCTGTAACTGTGCCTTCTATGTGGTTTGTTATATATGTAGTTGTATATGCAGTATATACAAACATGTATATACATATGCCTACAGATACACCTGTACATGCACGTGCATTTACTCACATATGCCTTCCTATGCACGTATATGCATCCATATCTACCTATGTAACCATATACATTTTTTGGTTGTTTTTATTGTTGCAAAATTGGATATGTTTATAGCATTTACCCAAAATTGTCCCCTTTTCTCTTGTACTTCTTAGTGTATTTACCTTGGTCAAGTTGTGCTGACTTCACCCATATTTGATCTTGCCTTTCCCATCACCAAAAGTAACAAGTGTCTGCTATCTAGAGTGATTCCCCATCCCTCTGTCTCCCATCTCCAGTAACCATCAAAGAACTCTGTTTTCTGTGTATGTATCTATTCTTGACTTTTTATAATAGTGGGACCATATAATCTTTGTCTTTTTGTGCGTGACTTATTTCACTCAGCATAATGTCCTCCAGATTCACCCATGTTATGTTTCGAGGAACCCCTCATTATTCTTTATAGTTGTGTAATATTCCATTGTGTGTATGTACCACAATTTGTTTATCCATTCATCTGTTCGTGGATACTTAGGTTGTTTCCATCTTTTGCTGTTGTGAATAATGCTGCAGTGAACATAGGTGTGCATATTCATGTCACTGGTCTTAGATCGCTAGGATATATACCTAGGAGTGGGATTGCTAGATGATAAGGTATTTCTATTTCTAGCTTTTTGAGGAAGCGCCATACTATTTTCCACAGTGGTCGTATCATTTTACAACCCTGATCCTGACTCCAAACCTAGTGCAGCTTAGATACTCTGGGAAGGGTGCATGAAGGTGGTTCAGAAGGTGAGAGGCGCTGGAGGCAGTTGTGCTGACTTTCACTTATGTACAGATCCAGGTCTAGTGCAGTAGAGGGCTCCTGCCTGGTGCTGCTCACACCAAAATCAGCCAGAGACAGTAGAAAGCAGCAGTTGGAAGAGGCTGGGGACAGAGAGACCAGGTCTTATGATCAGTTCTGAATAAGAGTTTTAAATCCCATCTGGGTGTCATACCTTCAGGGGCCTCACTGTAAATACCCTCGACTTTGCTTTCCTTAGGGTTAGGACACTGAACAGAGCTCTGGGCTGAAAGTGAGGCAGTGGTCTCACCTGGCACTCGTGCTGTCTGCTGTGGGTAAGTGTTGGAGCCTCAGTTTCCCTGACAGCAAAATGGCACAAGGCTGTGATCTGGCAGATTTCTCCCTAAACTCTAAGCAACACCTGCCACTAAACAAAAACAAACAAACAAACAAAAAAAGCAGAGAAAAGTCCAAACCCACAGGTAGTAGACACTCAAACCAAAAACCTACAAGGGAGAAACGGCTGACCTAAGGCTGAATCAGTTCTCCTGTTGCCACCAGATGGATCACACATTTTTTTTGCCAGTTTGGGTACTAGAACTGTATTTCTAGAAAATGCACCTGTTCCAGAAATTCGTGCTTTGAATCAGATATTCATTCAACATTCAATGAGCTGCTGTAAATTTATTCATTCATTTATTCATCCAAAATTTATTGAGCACCTACTATTTGCTATGCTAGATAGAGATGTAGTGGTGAGCAAGACAGACACAGTCCCGGCCCATGTGGCACCTACAGTTTAGCTTGGAAGACAGTTGTTAAACAACTAATTTCACAATGAGACCCACAAAAGAGATGTGCAGGGTGTGTGTAATAGGGGCCTGACTGCATCTGCAGAGGTGGCCCTGGAAGGCTTCCCTGAGGAAGTGACCGTTAAATTGAATCCTTCAGGGGTTAGAGGCTAAAGAGGGAAGAGCGTTGCAGGCAGAGGGAATAGACAATTAAGACCCAGTCATCCTGATAGCTCCCCCACACTGTGCCAGAATCCAGACTGATGTGGGAGCTGGAGGAGCACAGAGGAGTAGAGAGGAGGGAGCAAGCCTCTGACCCAGAATCTTATTGTGCAATTAGTTGTAATAGTAACTTCATTTCAGTATTTTCTCCATTTATCATGATGTTGTGTATTGGTCCAGTTGTGAGGATTTTTGTTTTCTTTATGTTACGGTGTAATCCATACTGAAGGCTGTAGTCTTTGGTCTTCATGGAGAGAATATTGAAGTTGTCAAGGATTTCATTTTACTTGGATCCACAATCAATGCCCATGGAAGCAGCAGTCAAGAAATCAAACAATGTATTGCATTGGGCAAATCTGCTGCTAAAAACAAAAACAAAAAAAACCCAAAGCCATTGCCGTAGAGTCGATTCCGACTCATAGCGACCCCATAGGACAGAGTAGAACTGCCCCATGGAGTTCCCAAGGAGTGCCAGGTGGATTCGAACTGCCGACCTTTTGGTTAGGAGCCATAGCTCTTAACCACTACGCCACCAGGGTTTCTGTCTGCTGCAAGAGACCTCTTTAAAGTGTTAAAAAGCAAAGATGTCACTTTGAGGACTAAGGTGCACCTGACCCAAGCCATGGTATTTTCAATCGCCTCATATGCATGTGAAAGCTGTACAATAAATAAGGAAGACCGAAGAAGAAGAAATGATGCCTTTGAATTATGGTGTTGGGAAAGAATATTGAATATACCATGGACTGCTAGAAGAATGAACAAATCCATCTTGGAAGAAGTACAGCCAGAATGCTTCTTAGAAGCGAGGATGGCAAGACTTTGTCTCATGTACTTTGGACATGTTATCAGAAGGGACCAGTCCCTGGAGAAGACCATCATGCTTGGTAAAGTAGAGGGTCAGTGAAAGAGAAGAAAACCCTCAATGAGATGGATTGACACAGTGGCTGCAACAATAGGCTCAAACATAGCAATGATTGTGAGGATGGCGCAGGACCGGGCAGTGTTTCATTCTGTTCTACATAGGGTCACTGTGAATCACAACCGACTCGATGGCACCTAACAACAGCAAGAAGTAACTTCACTGAGCTATTACCAGAACGGTTATGTCCTCCAATGAAGGAGACTCAGCCTATGAAAATCTAAAGGGATACAGAAGTGACCATATGCATTTATACAAAGAGATCCTCTCCAGAATCCTTTAAATTTTTACCTTCTCAGGACATTTTCAATGGAATTTATTTACAAGAAACAAACAAACGAATGAATGAATGAATCACCATCCTACAGGCTTTTGATAAATAGCATTGAAGACGGCAGTCCTTTTGCAGGAACAGACAGATCCACTTAAGAGATCCCGGACTTACTTCCTCACTGTGGAAGCCTTAAAAAAGAGCAAAGTTCATACTTTCTTGACTGGAGGAGCTACCCCACTACCCACATCCCCAGAGTTAGGCTGCACCACCACACCTTCCCATAGAAGCACTCAGACTTTCGCAGCCACAGAAGGCCTAGGTTAGAGCTGGAGGCAGCTGTGTGCTGGTAAATGTTTAATAACTGGCTCTTTGAAAAACAAAAGCCCTGATATGTAGCATTTGCCAATTTCCACGGCGTAAATTTTCCCACGTTGACTGATTTCACGTTCCCAACTTGAGGAGTT